ATATGAAGTGCTCCACCAACGCAGGCAGCACCATATCCGGGCATGCAACAAAGTACTTCCTAACGGCAAGCCCCCCCCCGCCATTCCCCCCCCCCCATTTCGCATGTTTAATATGGGCCTTAATTTGGGGGGAGGGGCTTAATTTGATTTTATGCCAATAAATCATGCTGGGGCTTCCTATTGGTGGAGGCCGTATTGTTGGAGAAACACGGTATTTATTATTCAGTCATTCTATATAGAAAAAAAAACACCTGGGTTGACATAACACCATAAGTCAGAATGTGATTCTTCCATTCTGACATTGAATTTTGTGCAAACCCAATCTAGTTGCTTTTATAACTTATAGAACAGAAGTCTCAAATTCCTGAGTATCAAGTGACTTAACTATGGAACATAATTACATAAAAAAAATTAATGCCAAGAATTAGGATTCAGGAATACAGAATCCTTAGAACAATGATAGGACTAATGCAAGGTTATGCCAATTCTTGATGATTTCAGCTCAGAAGAGATGTATTTAATTTGCTGCTTCTATTAGAGATGTGAGAATGTTGATCACATTTGGCTACCATTCAAGTGTTTCATTTTCTCTTCTTCATTGTCTTTGTTATGTCTGAAGTAGAAGTTTGATTTCTCTTCCAAAAGTTGTCCCTTTATAGAGAAGTATAGCAGTTTATTTTTCATTGCAAAATGCAATAATATAAATTGCAATTTGTTCTTTTTCATAATGTGCATTATATTCAAAACCATTCTTAATGTATATTAAGGCAGTGACTTATTGTACTTGTACTGTTCATCCTTTGAAATAGTTAACATGGATTTTTTTTCTGAAGAGATTAAGACTGAGTAAATTTTAAGGGGAAAAAAGATGTGTGTGAATTATTAATAATTCCATTTCAATTGAGATAAAACTTTGTCATGATATAAAGAACTTTATACATTATTACATTTAGCACTACAGAATTACTCTGAATCTCTTCAGTGTCAAATTTGTGTCACAAGAAAAAATGTCCAAATAATTGGACTACAGTGAAGCTAGTGTTTGAATTACAACCATTCATTTAATGACCATTCAAAGTTAGAACGGCATTGAAAAAAAGTGATTTATGACAGTTTTACACACTTAACAACTGTTGCAGCATCCCTATAGTCGTGTGATCAAAATTCAGACACTTGGCAGCTGGCATTTATTTGTGATGTGGTCCTTGGGGTCATGTGGTCACCCTTTGCAACCTTCTGACAAGCCAAGTCAATGGGGAAGTCAGATTCACCTAACAACCGTGTTACTAATGTAACAACGGCAGTGATTAACGTAACAACTGTGGCACTGTGACAAGATAGATCGTAAAATGGAGCAAAACACACTTAACAACTGTCTTGCTTAGTACCAGAAATTTTGGGCTCAATTGAGATTGTAAGTGGAGGGCTACCTTTATTTTCTTCAACCCAATATACTGCAGTGGATTCATTTTAATTTTTTTCCATTTTCCGTATCTAATTATATATCTAGAACTCTTCCGGTCTTTCACCCATTTTTCCTTTCCATTTTTTCCCTTTCTTTTGCTTTCTTTGTTACCCTAAAGATGGTTAAAATATTGCTAATTCATTCCAGTTATGGTCCAGTAATTATTTAAAGGTGATTCTTGGGTCAGTTGTTTTATTTCTTCAGCTGGATATTTCATAGTTTAGAAGTCAATGATGTAGCCAATTTTTAGAAAAGTTGAGGATGAATATCTCTTAACTCCAATTTCAAGTTCTTGCAAATGTTTTATTACTCAAACTAGGTAACATCAACATGATACACATGTTGATGTTACCTAGTTTGGGTAATGAAATGTCTGCAAGAAAACAAGCAAATTCAGAAAGCACCAACGATCCATCATTTCAATCCTGAGCTACAAATATTCTCCTTTATTATAACTTAAATGTTTTTATTATTTAAATCATGTTCAATTTTCAGAGAATGCCTGGACAAATCACTGCACTTTTCTCGGTGAGGTTTTTCAGAAGTGGTTTGCCATTGCCTCCTTCCTAGGGCTGGAAGAAAGTCACTGGTTCAAGATTGGTTGATCTCACTGTCTCCTGGTTTCTAGCCTGATGCCTTAACTATATACCAAACTGGCTCTCTCAAAACACTATTCAAGGGCTTTAAAATATATACTAATGTATATGTATATAGGTATATTAGCTAAGAAAGCAAATACCTAGTAGACTATTATAAAGTAATTGTTCACAAACAAAAAATAAGAGATTTGTAAAACAAGCCTTCAAACAATGACACATTTTATGTTCCCTTATAGCAAACTCTTTTACTGGAACAGCAGCGCATTCATCAGCTCAGAAACTACCAGGCATCCATGGAAGCTGCTGGCATTCCAGTATCCTTTAGTGGACATCGGCCACTTTCTCGAGCTCAATCATCACCTGCTTCTGCCAATTTTCCATTATCCACACAGGAGACACCGTGTAAGCCACAGTTCACAACAGGTAATACATGAAAAAAAAAATCTCTTAGAATAAGAGAGCAGCCCAGCTCTCTTACATAATTTGGCTGGAGTTCCCTGGGGGAGGAAGATCACAAATGCTGCAGATGCTTTGCTAAGTATTCTAGCAAAACTTCATAAATACATTGATCCGGAAGTGGGTTTGCCTTGCTGTAAGTTTGAATTGTGTGGTGATTGGACGTTTTTTGGTAAATGTCCATTGATTGATAGTGGAATGTCGTACTTTTGTTTCAATTAGTACTTGTAGGGGCAGAATAAATTTTCATGAGACCAAAATTGTTATAAGTAGTTTCGTCGCTGCTCACATCCTGACAGAATGTGAGGTGCCTGATAAGGATCAGCTGAGGGGAAAAAGAAGGGGCAACAGAAACGAAATCCTCTAAGTCTGTATACCTGGAACTATTGAGTCATTTGGAGAATGATAATATAAGGAAAAATCAAAAGTATTTTGGCCAAAAATATAAAATGAAGGGTCAAGTATAAAAACCTATGTTCAAAAAATACATTCAAATAATTGTTTTTTATTTCATGAGTTGAAGCTAGCTTTTGAAAACTGTATAGGAATTACTTTTGTTTCTTCTTCCGAGTATTTTCCTGCAAGTGCAGGGTCTACTTTTTGGGGATCAAGTCAGTATTGATCCATTGGTGGACACAGGAATTGACAACCATGTTGTCATGGGTTGAGAAAGATCCAAAATCATCCAGCCAGCAATCAAGTGGAATTAGAATTCAGTCTTAACCATTAAACCAAACTGGCTCTCCCTGTCTAGGAATCATGTTTAGAGCATTTAAGACAGGATCCCCAGTCAGTAGTTTGGTTTTTGAAATCATTTTCAGCAATTACAAGTTGCCTTTGACTTAAAAAAATGTTTGCTAAACAAGGTTCACATTAACAGCGGCCTCCGAAAAAGTCAGTTATGACCTGAATTAGACTTTACTACTATCCCCGCACTCTAATGGTCACATGATTGCAATTTAGGCACTTGGCAGTCGACCCACATTTATGACCAGTTGCACCGTCACATTGTCATATGATCACAATTTGCAATGTTTCTGCCAAACAACAGCAAAGCCTACCCTCTATTAAACTAGATTTGCCCTTAGAACTGTGTGAGTCAGCTGATGACTGCAGTAAAAATGGTCATAAAATTGAGTCCTGTAATTTACAACTGCAACAACTTACAACAGAAATCTATTCATGATGGTGGTCAAAGGTCAAGGATTATTTTTAGTTAAAAAGTTTAGTTTATGTGAATATTTGTATTACTTGCAAAATCCAGAGTATCAGTGTAAATTTCTCTATCTATCCTGCTATTATGTTTGTTTTTATAAACATTTGCACACTTCCTATTGCATATGTGTTGGGCAGTTTATAAGAATATAGTAAAATGTATATGCACACCTTCAGCATCACTTCCCAAGAAGAGCACATAAAGAAAGTTGATTGAAATTTGCTGAAGGTTACTGTTCCATAAGATCCTAAAGTTCATCACCAAAATTTTGAATTGGACCTGAAAAATCAATAACCAATGCTAAGTCTTTTACCACCAGTTAGCAGATGTACTGCACCAGCTGCAGCTTCCGTGTCATTTTCAAAGGCAGCCCCACATAGTATATTGCTGTGTCTTTAACAATGATATGATGAGTTATTGTCCTCATGGCCTCCTGGTCCAAAAAGCATGTAGTTGGCATATCAGCCAAAACTGGTTTGGAGCTGTGAATCCAAAATAAATTCTAACAAACTAACTAATTAAAACATTTATTCCATAATCAATATTCTTATCTCAACAAATAACTGCAACATCAGCAGTTTTACCAATATCCAGATGATAAAAGTGCATTTCTCTTGCAAAATGTTAGCTAACTATTAGCTGGGCTTGAATAGGAATAAAGTCCTGATAAAGTACAATCATGTGAAAAAGAGTTCTATAGTTTTACGTATATTTTTATATAATAAAAATAAAAATAATCTGTTCCTTAGCAGTTTTAAAAGTATGCAAACCTTAGATGTGTTGATGTTCAATCAATACATGACATATTACACTGTTACCATTTATTTACAAAAACAAAGCCAAAATGGAGAAGCCATGTGTGAAAAATTAAGTACACCTTATGATTCAGTAGCTTGCAGAGCTATCTATAGCAGCAATAACTTGAAGTAATCATTTTCTGTATGACTGTATGTCTCTTACATCATTGTGGAGAAATTCTTCTTTACAACATTACTTCAGTTCATCTGTTTACTGACAACATTCTTGAGGTCCTGCCACAGCGTTTCAATTGAATTGAGATCTGGACTGTGACTGGGCCATTGCAACACCTTGGTTCTTTTCTTTTCTTTTCTTTTTTAATAAAAATTTTATTTGGGTTTTCACAAAACATAATACAAGTAAAATTTCTTTTCTTGAGAATAGCATGGTCCCGGGTTATCACTTCTCCATACAGACACAAATTCAATTTCATATTCATCTTTGTGTTCTTTTCCATATCTTATTACTATTTTAACATTTTCTCAATAATTTTTCCCTTCCCTTAGTTATCTCAATCTTACTTTTAATTATCACATTCCTTCCTAAATTCAATTACATATATCTTTTTCTAAGTTTCAATATCTTCCTAGTCATTATATTTATACTTTTGTCTGTCCTGTTTCAATTTCATATTTTCTTTTCTCATTAAACAAATTTTTTCCCCTGTAGTTACTAATTGGAGTATGACACCTTTGTATCTTTTAATTTTTATCCATTCAATTCTTATTTAGACTTCAATTTATGCCTTTACAATTATAACATTCAATATAACACATAACTTCCAGTCGAATTCTGCTTGGTACATTCTTAAAATACGCACTAAGTTCTTAAAGAGAAAATATATATATAACAATAATAAAATACTTATTCTATTCCAATTCAGCTTTATCATTAATGTTAGTTATAATCTTTGACATCTTTAACATTTCTTTTCAATAGGGTATCATACTTCTAGGAACACTTGTATTTCCATAATTTTTTCGTGTTTCTTTCATATTCCTCTTCACTTAATTTTTTATAACACATTGATAATAATTAAAATGTTCCGCTCCTTTCCTAATTTCATTCTGTCATTCCCTTTATTTGATTTATTTATTAAACATTCCATTCCATTACAATGAGTATTATATCTATCATTTTAATCACACTTGTTTCATATTTTCAAAGTTCATTTCTATTTCTAATATAATAATACTATCTTATGTACCCTTGCAGAATCCCCCTTTCAATTAAGTTTTCACCCATCATCTCTGTCTTCTAAATAGGCTTATACCCTTAATCCTTGTACATTTTCCCTGCTTCTCTTATGTCCTGTTTCTGTCCTTTATAATTTCTTTTCCTTTCCCTCTCCCCCCTCTTCTTCTCCTTTCCCTTTTTGACCCCTTCTCTCTATAATTCTGATTGTCTCTTCTGTAAATCCTCTCTTCTGTTTCTTCCTAATGTTATAATTACTTTTCAAAGTATTCTTTTTTGGGGTTGTTTTTTCAAATCTTAATTTTTTCACTCTCTTTCCCCCCTTTCCTTTCTTTTCCCCACATAGAAATACTTGGTCATTGAAGATGGCTTCTTCTTTGTCCCGCCCTTCTTGTTCTATAGGCATTTCTTGTTGTTTCTCATAGTTCAGGATCTCCATTTCTAAAAATTGAAATACGAAGCCAAAAGGAGCTCTTCCTTCTTGTGCATTTTCTTTCTGTTTTCTAAGTTCCATTCTCAATTCTTCCAAGAGTGATACCATTTTAAAAAACTTATAAACCACCTGATTAATTTTAGTCCTTTAGATCCAATAGCCAAAAATCCAAAAATCACCAAGTAATCCAAATAATTTCTTCTTGCTTCTTTTTTCCACTTGCTCTTCCTGAGGTTCTCTTGTTACAAAGTTTCAGTTAAAATGTATCTTTTAGGAATCTTGTTAAAGTTTCACTGTTAATTCCTTTCACTTCCAGGTGGTCTCCTCCATTTTTCCAGATCCCACCCTTTTGTTTTTTATCTTCGAATCCAGAAATCTTTATTATCCCTTTGACATTTTATTTTCAGCTTAAATACCTGTTAATGTCAAAGTGGATTTTTGCCGATTTCTTGCTTAAATCTCTTAGTTGTCAATATAGGGAAGAAAAGAAAAAAACCCAAATCCTTTCCCTTCCTTCTCTCATTCGCCGCTTCAAAGTTTTCTTTGGGAACAATGTTGTTCTTTATAATTCAAATTCCAGGGTACCTTATATTGTTGCTTTTTCAGTTCGACCCGGTCAGCCAAAACTTTCTCTTCTTATCTTCCTCCTGCACATTCTTTTCCGGTCGAGTTCTTCTTTCAGGTGGCCATTTCTGACCACCGCTGCAACCGCCTTCGGGAAAGGGAGTAATGGCCAGCTGGGGAGGAGAGATGCGACTCTCCTCGACCCTGCTGGCAGTCTCCACCCTCTTCACCACCTTTACGGGGTGGCTTAGCCCCGAAACAGCCAGCTCGGGGCGCTCCAGCAGCGAGCACAAATCGAAACTGTGCACGATCGCAGATTTCGGTCTGTTGCCAAAGAAGCTCCACCTTGGTTCTTTTCTTTTTTAGCTATCCTGTTATAGCTTTGCTGGTGTACTTGTGATCATTGTCCTGTTGTATGATCCAGTGTCAGCCAAGTTTTAGCTGTTGGACAGATGGCCTCACATTTGATTCTAGAATACTTTGGTGTACAGTTTATGATCGACTCAATGACTGCAAGACATCCAAAGTATGGCTGCAAAATAAGCCCAAATCATCCTTTCTGAACCACCATGTTTGACATTTGGTATGAGATGCTTGTGCAGATATGCTGTGTTTGGTTTTCACCAAAACATGGCACCATGCATTATGGCCAGTCGTCTCCATTTTGATCTTGTCTGTCCAAAGGACAGTTTCCAGAAGTTTTGTGATTTGTTCAGATGTAACTTTGCAAACCTGAGCCATGTTGTCATGGGTTTTTTTTAG